CACTCCAGTGGCTGTTGTGAGTGCAGCACACAACGCAAAACAAATGTCACGAGTGTAATATTTGTTTCTCATTTAGTGCTAATGAGGCTTTCATTTTTTAATTCTCTAATCACCCCGGGGCGCATGACTTGAGTCAAATGAGCCCGAACCAAACATTCTGTTCGAAGGCGTAAGAACCCTCATGGTGAAACACATCAGAGACGGAGAGATGAAACACTGTATGCTGTCTTTTAACAACAATAGAAGTTACTGAATATAATGCAAAAGCTACATTTCTTAAATGTTAAGAGTTACAAAAGTCTTCTTCATTGATCATCACTGTGGATTTTCCTCTCATCCTCGTGATTAATCAGGCCTTATACAAATGAGAGATCTTCACCCACACACACAAACCAGCAAAACAATTCCAGTCTTCAACCCTGTGAAGCTCTGAATAGCCCCTCTGTCACGACAGGAGAGTATAAACAGAATATATATCAGCTCTTTCCTTACAGTCCACAAAAACCTTCTGTGATGGTACTATGCTTAATTGATGGCATCTGATATTTGAATATATACCAAATATTCACATGGTCACTCTTAAAAAATAAAGGTTCTAATTAGAATCATAGGCACTTGAAGTATGATGTCATAATAGAACCTTTGTGAAGTGATAATTCTTTTAATAACAGCAACCACTACAAAAATCACATTATGCAATATTTCGACAATATTACACACCCGAAGAACGATATATTCATACAACAAATAAGCCAATCAGCTGCCTATTTTCCAGTTCACTCTTATAAGATACAGCATGGTATTTACACGACACAATATACTTCAAGAAATACACGGCAGTGTCCAAATACCACACCACAGCATCACATCCAAAAAAAATCATACTTTTTTTGTAAACACCCTCATTGACATATTAAGCAGGCTTTAAAAAAATCTGCCAATACAACATTTACTATGGTAACCAGTTTCTACCTGTTATAGTTACCACAGTAAAATTGTGGTAAATTGATATGAGTCACGATGTGAAAAAAATAAATAAACAAAAATGACCATTTTCTCAAATGATCGTGCATTAATTTATCATTTTACAGCAGTAACAAAACAAATCTGTTTGTACTTTAGCGGAAACTATTGATAAGTGCAATATTAATCAAATTCAAAAACATTTTCCTTTTTTATTTTTGGAAGTTACAGCCGGTGTGTGTTTGTGTACCTGACTGTGTGTATGTGGATCTCTGTTTCCTTAGATACCACGACTGAAAAAAAAAAAAAAAAAAAAAAAAAAAAAACACCACACACATTACAGCCTCTCCTTCATAATCAATGACATTTGGATAAACGCATTAATGCACTGACAAGACACATCAATCACATTTCCTCATAACGTCAGGTTGTTCAGGCACCTTATGATATTAGTGATGGTGGATATGGGTGGTGTATTGATGCTGAAAACACACAACCTTCATCATGCATGGGTAACTCACGCTCTTTTTGCGCAGGTTCAGTCCGTGTTTTAATAATCCGGGCAGATCTCTGATCTTCTGCTTGATCTGGACCTGATCCCTGGCGGTTCTGTTCCATCTCCAGCTCGACAGGAGCCCGTCCTCCGCGGGACAGGGGAGGCTGTCGGATTCCTCCATCATCCTCCTCCACCTGCTCTTCACGCACACGGACGCCGGACCCACATCCTGCACGACAGCCGCTCGATGGATCTCCAGCCGCCGCAATGAGCCGCTCAACCGAGAGAGGAGACCTGCCGAACACTGCTGCTCCACCCAGCGATCACACACACACACACACACACGCACGCACGCACACGTTCTGGAGACACTCGCACACAAATGCACTCACATCGCTGGTTAAACGAGGACATTCAAAAACACATCTGCAGTAATATGAAACATGCACCTAAAAGAAAACTTCACTAAAATTCATTACTTCACGTGACGTGAGAATCATGAGCCACATGCCTGAAGGCGGTTGCATCAGTCATAGCCAACTTCTGAGGATAATATCTTAAGTAAACACGCGTTATGAGGACATAGACTACTGAGAATTAAGGTAACAAGTGCCACATTTGAAATATATAAGCATTAAACTGTATTATGAAAATATCACCAAAATCAAGCCATGTGGCTTTCCCCATGGTCAGGAATTATACTTTTATTTTAAATAGTAATTTTATGCCTTATTTTAACTGATAATAAAATGGGCATGAAGGCATATGTGAGGGTCTCTACGTTGTGTTATTGATAATGAAATATTCTAAATATGAACCATTATTGCTATCAACATCCCAGTGGGCATTTGGTGTTGAATGACGTCAAATTGACATCAAAACAAACTAATCCATGATATTGATATGATTTGATGTAAACTGAATATTGACCTGCATACATAAACCAATTTCAGTGAGGGTATTAGCTTTCTCTTTTCACCTATTACCACTGGAAGACATTGTAACCTTAAAATGAAATGCAGTATATCTTGATCAAGTCTTGACTAACTTTTGATATGAAATTTACATCAAGGATCCCATTGAAATAATCAAAAGAACCATATAGCCTACAGCAGGCTAGCTATTATTTCAGCTGATGTTGGAGATAAAAGTCTTTTCATAAATTAATGAAATTTTGCAAATCTCAACATTTTCCCCATCATCACAATTACATTCATGATATACTACACATTTAAATGTTCATTAGCTGCATAATACTTAGCAGGGAGTTTGTCCTGTCCACCAATCACATCATTCATTCATGTCATATGACATCCCTCATGAGTTGCATTGTTTTCACGCTAATCGACTAATAACGATTGATAATATTAAAAAGTTATTTAGTAATGAAAACATTTTTTAGTTTATCCGTTGATCTTTTTTCCCCCCCAACTGAAAAAAGGAAGTCCAGTTTAACTTTGAGGGACGATTTTGTCAAATATAAACACCCACATTTACATGTGTAACCCTGGTGTTTATTTCAGTAAAAGATAAATGGGCCAAATATTGCCTTCATTAAAACGTAAAAATACGGAAGATGAATATGCACTAAAAAGAGTACAAGTACTGGAAACATATCACATCTTTTATTGCACCGATATGAAACTTTAGCACTAAAGATCCATGGATCAGTGTGTCGTTGTAATTAATATTATTTTGTGCTGCATACTGATTTGGCGGCCTCAACTAGTCACCATTAACATAATTCTTACCCTGTGTTTTCTGAGACAGTCGAGCCAAAACGATTTTCCCAGCTGGTCCAGATCAATGAGACGCTCAGAATCATTTAACCTCTTCTGACTGGCACACAGTAAACCTCACACTCCCAATCACATGTGAACAATCACTGAGAATGTATTGCATTTTTATCACCTCTAATCTTTAGATCCGAGTTACAAATCCAGGGTTAAACAATACAGATTTCAGCAGAGATTATATTATTTTGTAAGGCTCATTGTTTTGTGTTTCTTTAATGTGTAACATTAAAATATAGGTTTATATTTTAATAAACATTAATTTTGCACTAAATTGACTAAAGGGATAGTTTTGTCCTTGGCATCTAAAGGACAGAGTCTTCAATAACCCATTTGTCTGAATAAATGAAATCAATATCAATGTTCAGAAGTTCACATCAATAGATCTGATTTGATTTTCAGGTCTGTGCTGTTTCTTGCGACGGTACATTACGGCGTGTTAAAGTATTGATCAGGTTGTTTGTCTCTTCAGACTGGTGTTCATATAGTCCCTAATTCTATAGAAAACACTAGAGGCCAGATTCACTAACAGCTTGCGCCAATGCAAACCTGCATTTGGTGTTAACTTCTGTCAGGATTTACTTCAGACACAGTGAAAAATAAGTGCTGAAAAGATGCTATTTTAGCGGCTGAAGTTATTGCTTATGCATTTGTAGGAGTTTCCCTTTCAGACACAATATTTATGGGAGGGGAGTATTTAAAGGGTACATATCATGCTTTTAAATCATTCATTTTTACATATAAATCATACCGTTGTGGTCTATATAAAACATAACTGCAACGCTTGGGTCTGAATTCCTCATTATTATAGCTCCACAAGCCCCTTTTCTGATGTGCGTCTGTGAGCGACCCGTTTCAAAGCGGCCCCTTTAAATAAAAAGGAGATGCGTCACACCCCGCCCGCTCTCCAGGTCGATGAGTTCACGGTCAGTTCAACTCCCCTGTCGGCCATTATTGTAGTTTGATTAGAGATATACGATTATATACGATACCTTCAAAGAACATTTTTATTCACACGTTAATAAAATGTCAACAACAGAAAGTCTTATGTTATTAGTGAAAGTCGACTATTTCTCTTGTTAAAACAAGCACACTGACAAGATAAATGACTACGGTCTAATCTTACCACAAACAATCTGTATTGATAATATGAAACCACAGCAGCTAAATGACCATTGATGAAACTCAAGAACAATAATACTGCAGACGTGTAACGTTACTTAAAAAAAAAAACAAAGAAAGACAAAGGTACTGCTAAACCACGACCACCATGTGTTTTAAGAAAGTAAAGTACTTTATTTTTATTAACGATATTTACAGCTTATCGAAATGCTCTGTTCGTCGTCTCCAAAGATAGAAGGAATTTAACGTTACCTCTCATTCAGACGAAGTCAATCGGCAAACCCTTCTGTATAACGTTACTGGCGGAGGTTGTTGAAGTGGGAATCCTTGAAGTGCTTCAGGTCACTACATCCAACAACCGAACATTTTGACTTTCCCTCTCGTAACTTCTGCATCATTGAGCTCGGACTACAAAATCGGAGCGAGAAATAATAATGGCGGATTGCTCGAAGTGTTGGACCGGTAGTCAATGTCCTTATTTGTCAGTTCTGCTGCAAATACAGCGACGCACTTGCTCAAAAAACGTCATAGACAACAGAAAAATCTGAACAGGTTGAAAAATATGACCAAAACAGAATATAAAGATATAAACGAAGCACCTGAAGAGAATAATTTCATCTTTTCTGTACTTATAATATAGACAACAAAATGCATTTAAGGGCTAAAAAAGTGGATTTTGCATGAAATGTCCCCTTTAAGGTTTGCGCTGGTCAATATTTCCACTGTTATTTAACGGCCAAAAAAGCATGTATTAAACCAGATGCTAATTTGTAGACTGTGTTGGTCATTATGGAAATGATCCAGCTGCGTCTGTTCTTTAATTTGCACGTCGTCAATAAATTACACTTCCATCTGAGCTTTTTTGGACTTGCGTTCTCATGCTAACTTGCCCTGTTTAGTAAATCTGTTTCTCCTGCATTGCAGTTATTGCTATAGTTTGACAGATATTGTTTTGTCAGTTACGAATAATTTGGATGTTGAGGCCATTTTTTTCAGTTAAGGTCAGATCAGACCGTTTTTTCGGGTGCTTTGGCATGTATTTGATGACAGACACCCGGGGTTGTTCATTAACACCCACAGCCAGCATGACGGGTTGGCATGCGTCCTCGCTGCTCACAAATGGATGATGGGCCAGAAACAGCGGCACCCCCTTCAGCCAGATACAATCTTCAGGACGCTTTCAGAATAAGCAAACCTTAAATCCACAAGCGCAACTTTGGAAAAAAAAGCCGTTGTCTAATCTAAGATTAGGCTCGGCGTCGAAGCAGAGGCCTGTTCCTCACTGTCGACGGTACGAAGACTTTAAAAGCCAGTGGTCGTGCTCGGCAAACCAGTATCTCCACATCTCGCATGAAAGAATAGCTGATGATCTGTCGAAATGAAAGATCACCTCTATACGGCTGAATGGAGCATATGCCTGGAGGACACGTGTGTGTGTGTGTGTGTGTGTGTCCCAGTGGAGTTCATTGGGGGGTGATGTGTGTGTGTTGTGGGTGTGTCTCTCTGTGCTCTAATTTCAGGTGTAACACAGAGGTGTTAGATGACAAGAAACCCACATGGGAAGCTGGGCAGCACATTCAAAGCAGGTGTTCAGTCTCGAAGGTCTGCAGAGAGAGACAATGATTAAGAATCTGATGACATGGATGTGAAAAAAAAAATAAAATAAAATAACTCTAAGGAATATGTACAGGATTCCGATTCCAACACTCTGTACAGGATTCCGATTCCATTGGAAATTCTATGAAAATTTGGAACATGAATAAAAAGGAAATCTGGAATAAATTGGAAAAAAAAAAATTGTTACCTTTGGGATACGTGGAGATGCTCTGGATGTTGAACTTGATCTCCAGCTTTTGATCTCCCGACAAAAAGCCTCCTCAAAAGTGTTTGCCACAATCCACTGCAAACTCACAATCAGGTCTGACCAGGGTTATTATAGACAACTAAAACCATAAAAAATAATAATAATTAAATAAAGTAAACATTAACCGAAAGTAGTTCATTCAACATTAAAAAAACAAAACAAATTCTTTAGGTTTTATTTTATTTTCAGATATTTGCCAAGGAATAATTTCTCATTTTTATTCAGTTCAACCTAATGTAGCCTACTACAATAGCTAAAACTGTAACTGAAATAAAAATTAATTTATAAAACTAGACATTAAAAAACAAAAACTAACGAATAAAAATGAGTAAATTACTAAAACTTTAACGTTAAAACAGAAAATATAAAAACAGAAAGTCAAACTAATAATACAACTTAATTACTAATTATAATAAATATACTAACATAACTATCCTGTATACTACATATACTAATATAACACTGGATCTGCCAAAGTCTACTAAAACTCATAATTTGTGACCTAAAAGGTCTTAATGGAAAGTTAAAAAAGTATTAAAAAGTAATATTATTGTAAATATAAATATTTTTTTAAATATAATTATTATATTTTTAATTATATAAATATATTTATATTCAAATATATTAGGGCAGAAAATCGATTAATCACATCTAACATGTTAAAAGAGTACATAATATATGTGTGTGTGTATATATATATATATATATATATATATGTATTTATTAAATTTATATATATTTTATATATAATCCGTGCATGTGCACTGTATACACACATGTGTATGTGTATGTATATATACACAGACACACAGAGAGAAATATATATAATATAGGCTATATAAATATAATATTACACGCATATATTATGTAGGCTAAACGCAGACTTTTATGTTAGATGAATCAATTTTACAGCCCTAAAATATATACTTTTAATATTTCTTCAACAATATATCCTATAATAGAATCGTTTTATCGGATTTGCATTTGATTCCATTAGGATTCTTTGGGAAACAATCATTTTTGCAATTCTGTTTGTGGTACAAATTACACACTTCACTTTTTGATGGCATGTGCGCATCTAGAACGTATTTGTAAACAAAATCAATGTCCCTTATGGGAGATAAATCAGGTTATTCTGCTGTTATGGCCTAATGCATTCAGACACAGAGTCTATTCTTAGAAAGGTTTATCATGATTAAAAACACTCTGTGAATATTCTGTGTAATCCCACCGTTGAAGTATTTACACATCTCCTCAGCACTGATATCATGTGATCTAATGACACGAGCTCAGTGATGGCAGGGCCATTTAAAGCCACGCTGTTACACGGTGTGTGTTCAGAGTCCTGATGGGAGGACACCGCTGCGATCTACACTGTAAAACATCATCACAAATTACTGTAAATGGAAAAATGCTGAAGTATATGTTAACTGTACATTACCATTTGACAAATGGACCTGAAAAAGAAAATTTAGGTTAAAATGTATATATTATAATGTCTAGAATATAGACATTGTTTTGTCTTTGCCTATGATATTCCTCAAAAACATAATGGCATTTTTTAGCAGTATTTATTTAAGTACTTATTTAATAATAATATTTTTTCATGAAAACAGTGAAAAAACATGAATTCACATCAACTGTCCATACAATAAAAAATAATGTTGTTATATTTACTATACGGCACATAAGTTTTACTATAATATATCCTACAAATATATTTTTTTCAAGCTGCAGTCCGCAGTTTTTCCTCTTTGTCGCCATCTCTGTTCGAAATATATTTAATTTTACATATAATTAAATAGGTTATGTTAGTAAAAACCAAGAGGGTAGTTAAGTAAGTTACACAGTTCTGATCATGTATCTAGTTTATTAATCACAAAATGTTTCTTAAATAATATCTTTTAGTGATTTGATGTCACTTACCTTGCTAACTTTGACAAGGAACCATTTCAGCCTTGAAAGATTTCATCCTGGGTAAACACAACTGTTCCCCCCAGACAGACTGAAGAAAAACCCCATGGGTCTTCACTCTTGGAAGCTGTGAAGTCATCCAATCACATTAGAATTTACTATATTGAGAAAGTGCTCGAGTTTCATGTGAAACATGCCTCAGACAGTCAGCGAACACGCTGTGGGAGGCTTGTCTGATGCTGAGAGAGAAGAAAATCTTTCATCTTAAACTTTCTCCTCTACAGTTCCTGCTCTCACACACAGACAGAGATCTTCAAACACACCCTTGATTAAATATTGAAGAATGCCCATGGCTCTCTAACAGAACACAACCTCCAGAACTTAGGAGAGGAGAGGGGTTTTGGTACCAACACAGAAAATGTTCCGGGTCAGCATCTTTGCCATGAATAGGATGGATTTAGCTTAGAGCTGATATTAGTAGTGTTTAATGGTTGATGTTGTGACAGGAATATTGTTCCAGGACCAACAAAAGGTCAAAGGTAAAATTATAGTCGAGTTTTAAACTTTAAAAAGTATAATAATAAGTGTAATAATAATAAGTGTAAAAAGTTTTAAAAATCTGGAATCTGAACTGGACATTACTGTTAAGAAACGTTTTACAGCCATCTAGTGGTTACTTAGAGGACCTCTGTTTATTCGACTCAAAAGGTAAAATGTCCTGTTTAAACAAACAGAAGAATCCATTCTCTGCATAAAACAACAAATAGTATACAACAAAGTGCCAAAATTTCCCGTAAATATGCCATCATTTACATTATGCATATCATTTTGTAGTCACATAATAACGGAGTAACTTATAGAAGTTCCAGAATTGAAGTTCATAGAAAGAACGAAACTGTGGTAACGTTAAAAAATTGAATTTGAAAGTCAATTAGCTACCCACCAGCCAAACCAAGATATTTACTAATAGGCCTGCTTTTCTTCGGGGAGAATCCACCGAATTTTCACCAAAGGGAAGCCACCAAAACCAGAGGAAATCTCCCCAATCTCGCCCTAAAAGATTTGGCAAAATATTTGGCAAAATGTCGTATTTCCCCAACGCTGGTCTTGTCCAAACCTTTACGATTAGTGATCTGGCTCGAGTGAACATCGACCTAGCTTTTCGCTCATTTTAAACTTGTTTTGCAGAGCCCAAATCGTCTTTTCACGCCCAATGTTAATTATCTTAAAGATGTTTTACACTTTTTAGATTTAAAAGTAGCCTAAAATAACATGGTTTATCGATGTACCTGTCAGATACAGACCCAAAGGCAAGCGCTTGCTCCAACGGCTGATCTGCTGTTGCTATGGTTACCTCCATTACTGCGCGCGAATACTTTTCTTGACATGTGAAAACGCGGCTTCTTTTTTTGGCGGCCGGTTACACGATGTTTGATGAAACGTTTCTTATGTAAGACGAAAAAATTAAATTTTCAACACATTTGTAAAATTTTAACAGTGCTGTTTTGCAACAATTTGGTTCTCTCAGTAATGGGTTTTTGAATTACAAGTAAAAAGTCAGTCACATTTTGTTCTACTACAACAACAAATCTCAAATGTGAATTTATAAGTCACTGTTTAAAAAAAAGTGGCTAAAAACGTCTGATTCCTCAATCATCTCACATCTTGCTAGCTGTAGTCACCATTAAAGGGATATATAACTATATAGTTCACCCAAAAAAATCACCGAAAATCACTGACGGTGATTATCAAAAACTGACACTTCAGAAAGTTCATAGGAAACAGTAACATACAAACATATCCATTTGAATTGAGTGGTTTAGTCCAAATTTTCTGTCAAGACTAGGTCGCTTTATATGATGAACGGATTGAATTTAGGCTTTTTTTCCCACAAATAAACATTATCATTTAGTGAATATCCCAATAAGCAGAATGTGAGCACCAATTGTATTACCCTGCAGTATGACATGCATATGTGAAATATGAATGAGAGTGTCAATGAGATTCTGCTGTGGCAATAAATGGAGAAAATGCTTAGCTCAGCAAAACTTTGACACATTGTGGCTTGACCTTTGAACTGTTTCTTCATAACACCGGAAGAGATCTCATTGACAAGACATGTAACTCGTCATGGAAGCTGGATAAAGCTGGCATTTGCCCAAGCCGGAAACTCTAAAGTTGCCCAGTTTAAAAGCCCTCATATAAAGCATAATCGGTGGTCTATTTTTGGAGTATTGGGGTCTGATTCACTTTTCTTTTTGTGTTCACCAGTGTATGGCAGTAATAAAAAACCCAGAATTACAGAAACTGAAAAGCCTCTAAAAAAACACCCACACAATCACATATCAGATGCTGAATTTCTGTGGAAAAAAAAGGTCTTAGCATAAATGTGAAATATCTCTAGTGCACATCTTTAGTTTCGTAAGCATTTCCGTGAAACAAATTTTGTTTTGACCTCACAGCAACCTAACAACATGTGCCCACTCCTAAAAGAGCAACAAATGTCTCAGATTTTGAGTGAAATAACCTCAATAATATGTTTTACTCATTCTCTCTCCTGAAAAGGCCATTGTGGCACTCCAACATCCTAAACCATCAAGACCACATGAGATAATCAGCTTAACCAACAGACCTGCTACTCTTTAGCTTTATCACCAGGTTGGTCAACCAGCGCCACCAGTTTGGTTTCTTTAGTGAACCAACAAGCTGGGAAGTTAATGCTGTGCTAAACTAGCAGTTTTAACAGGACTTGAAAAACCAAATCAAGCACAAGAGCAAAACCTCCACATCTGAAGATCCGTTTCAGTCATTATAAAACTAAATTAATATTCAGATCCAGTAACTGATTCATTGGTTGTGTGGAATGCAAGGAACATGTAGTATTTCTCAGAAAAGAAACACTTTAACTTTTCATCCGTTAATAACACAAGCATTCGTGGAATTATCGTAATGCAAAGACGCGTGGTATTTCTGCAGAATCACATATCACACCTCAACAACAAAAGAAAAAAGAAAAGTGGTTTCCGCTGTAGGCCGCTTTTACTACAGGAGTAAATGAACCACGAAAAGAAATGTTCACTTCATGATAGTACAGAACTGAACATTTCTCATCTAGTACCACCCACTGATACTTGTACCAATGATGGAAATAAACAGTAAAATGGCAACACAGGAAATGGTACAAGGAATGTATATAGGCTAGGCCTTATATATAAATGAATGGGTTTGCAAATAAAAGAAATGAAAGTAAACAGTAACGTGTGTGTCTCGGTCTTTTCCTTCTGTCTTTCTTTCTTCTTCATTTTGAATTCTGCTTTCTTTAAGTGCTTTCAATATTGTTTTTGTTAACTAACTGTTAAATAATTTAAACATTAAATAAAATATATTTCATGAAAATGAGAAATCTTGCCTTGGCAAGTACTGAAATAAGGTGAAGTACTAAAATTAACAGCCCGTTCTCATCCCAAGGTGACGCTTTTGACAATATATCCAACGCACATGGCACCCTTTAGCGTCAATATGAGACGCAGATATATATGGGCCAGAAGGCGCCTCCTAGTGGTCTAACCCTAACCCTATCCCGGACTAAACCTACCATAACCAAAGCGTGTTATATTGATGCTAAAGGGTGCCATGCATTGTCAAAAGCATCAGTATATGATGCCCTAGGATAAGAATGCGTTGAAATTAAATACAAATAAAGCTATATAGAAATGTTAAAATAAAATAAAATTTACTGAAATTACTTCAACTAAAATTTAAATGAAAACTGGAAATAATACAAATAAAATCTAAACTGGCCCCATAAAAATGATGGGAAACTGTATATATTTTGTTTTTTTTGGCTAAGTGGCCTAGTTTCAAGGTTAACAAAGCAAATATCCAGTCTATTTAAAATTCAACAAAAACCCACAGACCCAGAAATAAGACTTTATTTAAATAAGATTAAGAAAATATATTTCATGACAATGAGAACTGTTGACTTGGCAAGTACTGAAATAAGATGAAGTAAAATTAAATACAAATAAAGCTATATAGAAACATTAAAATAAAATAAAAACAAAAGTACTAGACAAAATTACTAACATTTAAATGAAAACTGAAAATAATACAAATAAAATCTGAACAAATTTTGGGAAAGCGGCCTATAGTTTCAAGGTTAACAAAGCAAATATCCAGCCTGTAACAAAACCCCACAGACCCAGAAATTAGACTTTATTTAATAAAAGTAGGGCATTTTTTTGTCCCCTTTTGCCGAAGCAAACCCAGAAAACTTCCACCATTACTTCAAATAACATCACCCCCGTTCAATCTTAATTTGAATATTTTCCCTCTTTCTGAAGGGGAATCCTCTGTTCCACAAACCACTATCGTCATGCATATTAACCAGAGGCCTTCACGACTCGACGCCCCATCAAACCCCCACCACGCAAAACTAATAGATACAACGAATATATTACAGAAAGCAGAATTCAAAATGAAGAAGAAACACAGAAGGAAAAGACCGAGACACACACGCTACTGTTTACTTTCATTTCTTTTATTTGCAAACACATTCATTTGATGCTTCCTTAGACTTACAATAAAAGAAACGAAGAGAATCTAAAACTGTTTAATCAGCAGTTTGCATTATATAATATAAATTATAATTCAATCTCAGCTGCTGGATGTCATAAATGAGATATTTCATATAATACGGCATGCATACAGCAGCAACCCTCCTATTATTATTATTATTTTTTTTTTTCAGATTTAATGACTTTTCCTAATTTAATGGGGACAACTCTGTAAACATAAAATTGACCTGCTGATATTTTTTTCAATGTCCTGTACTGTAGCATCAGCGTTCCTTGGGGTCAATTTGACCCCAGGCTCTTTTAGATGAATAATAAAACAGAAGAAATACTAAAATTTCACACACATTTGTTTTGGTTGTTTTATTGAGGTCACTATAACATGTTATCATTTTAATTTATACACTTTTAATATGCTGGGTTGTTTTAACCCAATTTTGGGTAAAATATGGACAAACCCAGCCATTGGGTTAATTGTTTAATTACATTTTTAACCCATTTAAGTATTTTACCCAAAATTGCGTTAAAACAACCCAGCATTTTTTAGAGTGTAATGTTCATTGTAATTTTACATATTCAATATTATATTCAAAAAACGTCCAAACATAATCATATCTGTAATATTGCGAGAACCACTAGTAGTTATTCTAGTGAATAAAGAATCTTTTTCCACTCTAAAGAACCTTTTGTGGAATGGAAAGATTCCATGGATGTTAAATGTTCTTCATGGAACCATCGATTGCAATCATGCAGCTTTATATTTAAGAGTGTATGAGCAGAGCCTGGGGCAAGTTGTCACAATGTCGATAAATCAGTAACGTAGATGTTTAGTCACAAAGGCTTGATTTCTATAACAGTGGTTTGTTCAAAGTTCAAACTATACTGTCACTTTATGGATTCCCAACTTTTTAATTATAATGCAAAATAGAGAAGATATAAAACATTTTTTTATTTATTTGTTGTGAATTGTACACATTTTGTAGCATCTGTGTTCCTTGGGGTCAATTTGACCCCAGGCTCTTTTAGCTGTATGATAAAACAGAAGAAATATTAAAATTTCACACACATTTGTTTTGATTGTTTTATTGAGGTCACTATAACATGCTAAAATTTTAATTTATAATGTTCATTGTAATTTTACATATTCAATGTTAAATTCATTCTCTGTTTTAGGGATCTAACCAAACATAGCCATATCTGTAGTATTGCGAGAACCACTTGTAGTTCACATGACGTGTGACATAATTCTCATGAGAACTAATAATTCTTTTCTTTGCCATGGGGGAGGGAAAACGTCATTTTTTGTGAGAACTAATAATTCTTTACCGTGCCATCATGCAGGGGAAACATAATTTTTGTGAGATTGACCCCAAACATATCTCGTGTTACTATCTTTGATAAAATAGTTTTTCTTTCCAAATGTTATAGATTACAAAAATCTATACTTAGAGATATAATACAAAAAATAACACACCAAATATATTTATATTTTTCCAATTTTAGGTCAAATCAGTAAGATTTTGTGATGATTTGAAAATTTGTCCATAGTCGTGCAATGGGTATTCTGGATGTATAAGGGGTTAGGTGGGACGTGGGGTGGGTGGATGTCAACTTAAAAGGTTACTTAAGTAGTCAACAAAGACATAAATGACCTGAGACAAGCCTTTGTTTAAAAAAAAAAAAATACCATAAAAAAATGTTAAGTTTTTAGGGTAACAGGAGGGTTAAAAAAACGGGTTTAGAAATGAGTGTTTCTCTTTGAAAACAATCAGAGAGAATTAAGATACACTCTAAAGTTTTTTTTGTGGTTTTTTTTTTTTTTTGTGCGCGATGCGATAGAAGCAGCATTTTCCGGTCCCCAAAGAACTATTCAGTGATCAGTTCTTATTTTGAGATCAGAATTTATTTTATTTTGCTTAGTGTGAAGAACAGAATATTTGAATAGAATAAAAGAATCCTTTTCCACTCTAAAGAACCTTTTGTGGAATGGAAAGATTCCATGGATGTTAAATGTTCTTCATGGAACCATCGATTGCAATCATGCAGCTTTATATTTAAGAGTGTATGAGCAGAGCCTGGGGCAAGTTGTCACAACGTCGATAAATCAGTAACGTAGACGTTTAGTCACAAAGGCTTGATTTCTATAACAGTGGTTTGTTCAAACTATACTGTCACTTTATGGATTCCCAAATTTTTAATTATAATGCAAAATAGAGAAGATATAAAACATTTTTTTTTTTTTATTTGTTGTGAATTGTACACATTTTGTAGCATCTGTGTTCCTTGGGGTCAATTTGACCCCAGGCTCTTTTAGCCATATGATAAAACAGAAGAAATATTAAAATTTCACACACATTTGTTTTGATTGTTTTATTGAGGTCACTATAACATGTTAAAATTTTAATTTATAATGTTCATTGTAATTTTACATATTCAATGTTAAATTCATTCTCTGTTTTAGGGATCTAACCAAACATAGCCATATCTGTAGTATTGCGAGAACCACTTGTAGTTCACATGACGTGTGACATAATTTTCATGAGAACTAATAATTCTTTCCTTTGCCATAGGGGAGGGAAAACGTCATTTTTGTGAGAACTAATAATTCTTTACCGTGCCATGCAGGGGCATGGGGCAAGTTGTCACAACGTCTGTACATCAGTAACTGAGACCTTTAGTCACAAAGGCTTGATTTCTTGGTTTGTTCAATCTGAGAATTCTTCATCCAAACTATTTTGTCACTTTATGGAATCCCAAATTTTAAATAGCTTATAATGCAAGATATGTTGTTAAAGATGTTTTATTTACTTGAAAAAAATTATATTCGCGTTGTGAAAAATTATATGATCAATAAGTTATGACAAGATATGTTTGTGCACTGCTTTAACTCAAAATAAGTTAAGCAATTTTCTGTTTTTATATAAGTTTCAACTCATTTTTTTTTTAATTTTTAAGACAGATTAATGTCATTTAAGTTGAAATGACTTAAAAAAACAAGTTGATTGTACTTAAAAAGAACATTTGTCCTTAAAAGGTAGCAACTTTTTTTTCAGTGAGTGTCAACAAACATGTTATAATTGTGACAACATACCCCATTGTCCATGTCTCTGTACCTTCAAAGATTTTCAAAAAAAATAAATTATATATATATATATATATATATATATATATATATATATACAGTATATATAAATATATGAAGAGTTCAGATGCAAAAGCCTCTAAATGCCATTTGAAATTTTCTTCTTTAATGCTGATTTTTATCAAACTTGTATATTTAAGTTCAGTAATTTCACTTAAATGGCAATGATAATTACCTATTAATTGTTATTTAAGTGAAATTACTGGAGTTAAATATACAAGTTTGATAAAAATCATCATTAAAGAAGAAAATTTCAAATGGCATTTAGAGGCTTTTGCATCTGAACTCTTCATATATATAAATGTATATATATATATATATATATATTAGAATAATATTATAATATATGTATATATATATATACACACACACACGCACATATATATATATATATATATATATATATACACACACACATGTGTGTATATATATATATATATATATATATATACATACATACATATGTTTGTATATATATATATATATATATATATATATATATATATTCACATTAAAAGTATCAAAACCTCAGGCTTGTATCAGTTATTTAAAAAAGAAACTTGTGGAAACCTGTAAGTTTAGAGGGGGGGGGAAGCAACAAGAAAAATATGCATTTATGAAAATCTGATCAGATTTTCCCTGTTTCAAAATGATGAAAACTCAAAAAGGCGGGTTAAAAAGTGGAAACTCCTGAAGCCAGTGTATAAAAACCACTTGAGAAGTGCCGTTGAGAAGTCTCCCGAGATTGCTTGAAGACATCACACAAACTTTCGTAATCAGGATGCCGTCAGCTCTGAGTAAGTGAAGCGTTAGAGCGATCGGATATCCTCTCATGCAGTCACACATCTCTTCACTTTCTCTCTCTCACTATTCTCTGCAGACAAAGTGCTTTTCCTTTCTGCCACACTGGCGGTGCTCATGCGTCTCGTGGACGCGGTGCCTGCGTACAGCAGCATGGGGGAACTCTCGGAAACCTCTGGAGAAGAAGTTCAGGACGTGGATGTGAAGAGTCTTCTGAACGACCGGCACAAATGGCATCTGATGGCGAGAGATCTGCACAAGGACGTGAAGAAGCTTCGAGATGAACAGGTGCTTTAAAATCCAGAGTTAAACAAAGGCGTGTTGTTCTTCGGCCCGTCTTTAACTGTGTTCTTCCGCCTGCAGTTTGAGAACGATTTCAGGGAGGCGGTGAACATGACGGCGTATGAAGGCGTCCGGGTCAGCACGCCTCTCCTCAAACCTTCTGACGGCTGTCTGTCCAGAAACTTCAGCACAGTAAGAACGCTTATCATGCTTGTGCTTTATCCAAATTTGGTAAACTGTTCTGTCCCCTAACATGTTAACGAATTTTAAAATAATATCAAAAAGTAGTTTCTAAAAATCTTAAATTGTACATTTTTAGGAAGATTTAACAGTTGAATTTGCTCTTTAGTCACTATATAATCTCAGTATTTCCATTTGTTCAATGTAAAAAAAAGACTGCCTTAAATTTTTAATTACAATCAACGTGGATGTTAATGTCAGTTCAACTTGTATTATGTTAAACGGACTTAAATGAGTTGAATCTTGTATAAATTGTAAGAAGTTTAAACTTATTTAAACGAGTTATAAATTCAACATGTTGTCATAATTTATTGATTGACCATACAATTGTGTATAACAGCAGATCTATTTCACAAAGACTAAACATGTCAACATGTGTAAAATCCATTAAAGGGATAGTTCACTTTGAAATTCATTTTTGGTATGCTTTATCTTACCTCAAGGGCATCCAAGATGTAGGTGTCTTTGTTTCCACAGTATTTTCAATTTTGATATTTTTAGGTCAAACCGTTCTTGTCTGTCAGTCATATAATGGAGGTCTATGGTCACCACCTTAAAGAGCATGCACAGAGAAGTCCAGATTAAACATGATTTAATGACTCGTAAATGTTAGTACACATTGATGGCCTAAGACACGAAACGAGCGGTTTGTGTGAGAAAACGAACAGTATTTATACCGTTTTCACCACAGCCACAAAGCGCCCGCGCCTTTAATTTGGACTTCTCTGTGCATACTCTTTGAGGTGGTGACCATAGACCTCCATTAAATGACTTATAGACACGAACAGTTTGAGCTAAAAATATCAAAATTGAAAATACTGTGGAAACAAAGACACCTACATCTTGGATGCCCTCGAGGTAACATACCAAAAATTAATTTCAAAGTGAACTATCCCTTTAACGTCAGAGAGTGTTATGATTTTCTCAATATCAACCCTCATGAATGTTTCAGGAAAGGTGTCTGGGGCGCATTTACAGTGTCCTGACGTGGTATAAAGAGAACTGGAACTACATCGAGAAGGAAAATCTGACCTCAACCCTGGTGAACGACATCAAGCACGGGACGAAGCGACTGCTGGAGGACATTAACAGCCAGGTAAAGTTAACGCACCTGAACTCAACATCTGCGGTCCTCAACCCTTTCCAAGAGGCCGCTACGCTACTGGGCGTTATTTTAGACATCAATTTGAACTGTACTTGGTAACTCTTTACAATAAGCAAATTCAATTTTATCTCTGAAGACTAGTAATAAACTGATATCAACTAGCTCAACAGTCGTACATTAGCACTAGCACTGTAAGTGCTGGCATGACACGTACTGTATTTAAAGGGTTAGTTCGACCAAAAATGACATTTCTGTCAGAATACATCAGGCTCACTATTGGCCGACGCTGGTCATGTGTGATGCTGGCCAATGGTGAGCCTACGTTCTGTTATACTACGTGAACTCTCTCAGAGGCCCACATAGAAGACGACTACGGTAATATTTGAATTAAAGCAACACCAAGTAACTTTTACGGTCGCCCTACAGGTTGGAAGTGGAATTGTCCATTACCGCTGTGGTAAATAATTTAGCCTAGCGTATCCTACTGTCGCACGCGCTCGTTGTTTAACAGCATCGGCTTTGGAATGAACGATGTCCACAGAAAAGGTAGATTATGTTGCATGATTTCATGAAAGAACGATGTATTAAGACATCCGAAACGAAGAAAAACAGAATAGTGACTATTGTAACGCTTGCCGTAGAGCAAGTCAAATTTGTAGTTTTCTTATGCATCATTAGAACTACAAAAACGCAACCCGATCTAGCAATCTTACATAGCGTGGTTATAGCAGATAAAGGAGCGCACAGCGAATCCACAAGTGCCTTTCACCATGTTACGATTTGGTGGGAACATTAAGGAAACATTATTTAAGGTAAAAAAAAAAAATCTTATTTAGTGTTGCTTTAAGTCGTCATTTATGGAAGCGTATTGCATTCACTTGAGGAAACCAAATCTACTCTGTTTTTCTGAATTAACAAGTTAATTAGAATTACGAGACATATTTTTCTTGGAAATTTTTTTTTTCACTCTGCTTTTATGAATTAATGAGTTACTCCTACTTTTTTAGGTCAAGTCATTAATTCAGAAAAACAGAACAAAACCTTTTTTCCATGAAAAAATTCTCGTAATTCTGAGATAATTAACTCGTTAATTCAGAAAAACAGAATAGATTTGCAATTTGCAAGTGATCGTTTGCAAGTGAATGCAACACGCTTCCGTAGTTATTTAGTTTACGATTAATCGCATCCAAAATAAAAGTTTGTGTTTACATAATATATGTGGGTGCACTGTGTATAATTATTTTATATATATATATATATATATATATATATATATATATATATATATAAAATACACACACATGCTTGTATATATTTAAGAAATATTTTCATGTATATACTGTATATAGATTTATATATAATTTATATTATATATATATAATAATATTTTTTTCTTAAATATACATGCATGTGTGTGTATTTATATATATATATATATATATATATACAAAATAATTATCCACAGTGCACCCACATATATTTACAAACTTTTTGGACTTTTTGGATGCGATTAATCGTTTGACAGCCCTAGTTTTTTTTTTTTTTTTTTTGCGCACAAAAAGTATTCTCGTCACTTGGTAAACTTAAGGTTGAGCCACTGTAGTCACTCCGACTGTTTTAACAATGTTTTTATTTACTTTCTGGGGCAAGTTTCAATTACAATAGAAGCCCGAGTGAGACAGCTCTCAGATTTAATCAAAAATATCTCAATTTGTGTTCCGAAGATGAACGAAAGTCTTACGAGGTTGGAACAACATGAGGGAGAGTAATTCATTTTTTTTTTCGTGATCTAACCCTTAAACGTTTATCTCCCTCCAGCTCCAGCTGGGCGAAGGACAGGTGGACCCGATCCCCAGCGGTCCTCTGTCGGTCAGATCCGCATGGACACGCAAGGCCACCGTCCACTCCATCCTGTTCAACTACACCAACGTCATGATCGACACATGCAGAGCCATCAGTTACATGAGCAAAAGGAAGGGTGGACACCGGGGGAAGGACACGAAGAGACCCGGACACTGGACCTCAGACAAGAACTAATCAATACTCACTTAGAGATTTATTTATTAATCATCGCAGTATTCGATTCAGGGAATGAGATTTTAATATTTATGAGTATGTACTTTTTTAACTTATTGAACGTTAAATGTTGTTTGTACAACACGGATATTTATAAATGTAATATTTATGTGTCTTTACTTTTATTTACTTTCATTTGTACAACACTGAAAATCTGTGCTGATAAATATTTATTAAACATGTTTAATTTATTTGAAACGGAACGTTGAGCACATCCTGAGATTGTTTACAATGACTATTCAGATTAAAAACAACAAAGAAAATCCAGTTACATTGTGTGTGTTTCTCAAGACAATGTTTAAGAAAGACGTAGTAAAACAAAAGAAAACAAAAATGTGACAGCCGAGTATTTACGTCCCAGCATAACGTCGCAACCCAAGCGGTCAGTGTCCCGAGACTCCCGTGAGTTCAGTGGGAGGATCCGGATTGGTCTGTAGTGGCCGTCGGGAGCGTCTTCATCCCCAAAGCAAACTGAAAGAAACCGCAACATCTTCTTCAGCTCTCTGTGGAAAAACACTGTGAGCTTCATGTGTCCGACTCACACAACTCACCTCAGGGACCGTGGGTTCAGGCATCCCTGGATCGGCTCCACGTTTGAATCCTGGGAAATAAAGAAAATACGGTAAATAACTATTAATAAGTGTGCATGGAAATAT